TTGCCTTTCCTCCTCCACCCTGCCACATTATCCACCTCCCTCTGCCCACTCCTTTCCGCCACACTGAACTTAATTCTAAAGAGTTTAGAATGCACCTTTCTCATCTCAATAATTAGAATGTTAAATGTTTGGGTCACGCAATGCAGAAAATGGACCCAAACCCAACACAAATCATGAGATGATTTTTTAAAATCTCAGTCTTTGACTGCAGAGTTAAACTTACATTCAAGGGTCTTTTTGGCTGAATTGTTCTTAGGACAGCTCAGTATGGTAGTTTTCTAAGGTCTCAGGTGAGTTAGGGTTGCTTTCCTCTTCCCTCCCCTCCCCTTTCTTCCCATTTCCCCTTCCTCTTCCCCTTCTCTATTCTTTTCCTGTTTTCTGTTCCTTTCCCTTTCCCTTTCATTCTCTCCCTTCCTCTTCCTTCTTTCCTTCATTCCATCTAAAAAGGAAGAAAGAGACAGGGGAAGAATTGCGAGTTATATGAATTCCTGAGTGTGGAGTACTGCTGTTGGCTCTGTGAGAGATCTGGAAGAATTAAGTGGAGTCTCTTATACCCAAAGAGAGCGAGACCCATAGGTACAGGCTGCTGGATGACGGTGGTGCCATCTGCACATGGCCACACCATAGGCAGTGGTAGTTAGTACTGAAGTGCAAACAGCAGGCAGTAGAAATTTAAAATAATGGAAATAATATAATGTAATGCCTCCAAGTTCACATATGAGGGCATGATGACTTTCCCAAGGGCCTCGTGGATCAGGTTTTCTGTACAAATGCAACACCTGGCATCATCTTCCTTTCTTTCTCTCCTTGAGAGCATCATTTTATGCTGGTCTACTGTGTGGGTTTTGTAAGCCTCCTTAAGTCTTTTTGGAGCATAGTTAGGGCTACTTGTATATAAATTAGAGTTGAATTTATAGTAAAAGAATTTCATAGGTTTTGATTCTGTTGTTTCAAGGTATTATTTTTGTTTCCCAGCTAGTCCTTTTTAATAATACTTTGTTTTGACTTCATAGAGGCAATAGTTTCCTGTTCTTATCTCTCTGGGGATATTAATCATCTTGGGTTATGTTTATCTCCTCCCTGCAGTTTGTTTCCCCATCAATACCCTCCCTGTTATGGGCCTTTTTCGGATGTGTGGAGACTACTTATCTGCTCGTGTGTAAAAGTGGAGTGCTGAAGAGCTAACTGTAGACACTTGTCAGTGAAGGGAACCCAAGTCAGCTCCACTGTGGAGTGGCCTAAGAAGTGGTTAATGGAGCAAGGAAGTCCCCTCCCTGTATCTAGGCTGGGGACAGAGGCCTGGCATCCAGGGCATGGGATCCAAGGAGAAGAGGGCTAGGGTCCCCCATGGTAAGACTAAACAGCCAAGGCACCTTATCAGTTTGTGGTGCCCTGGCCCTGCAGTGTGCTGATCAATCCTCACCCTTCAATCTGCTTCTTGAATATCCATCTCATGCCCCTTGGGTGGGAAGCAAAGGGTGTCCCTCAATGGTGTGGAGTGGGCAGGGCATTAGGAATCTAGTTCCTTCTCAGACACCTTGCTCCAGAGACCTTTGTGACCACTCCCCCTTCTGCTCAGCCACCTGCTCTAAGGGTACCAGTCTGTGAGCACAGAATTGGGCAAGTGGGTCTCGGCATGCCTGCTACTGCTTCTGGGTTGGCTCTTGTACTAAATTTCACTGTCTGTTATCTCTGTGGCACCTGATCTTCCTGATTTGGTCATCAACTCTTTTCACTATTTTTCCGTTTGTGGATTTCTGTCTTTAAAAAAAGAGAGAGAAAAAGAATAACCAAATTTAAACTGTAGTTTCGGCTTGGTTTGGGAGGAAAAAATGCTGGATATGTAGGTTTAGTTTAGTGTTATAACCTAACAGCTCTTTACTTCCATTATTTTTTTTTTCATATAACTCAATAATGCAGTTGTTAACTACTCTTGTAGTTCACTGGCTCTGAGACTGTCTGTGTTATTTACCATCTTTGGATCTTGTTTACTTCATCTGTCAAATAGGAATATTCCTGCCCTACCTACTTTATAACCTTGCCTGAGTTACCATGTAAGTGCCAGGTCATAATAACCAGCATTTCATGCACAGCTCTGGCAAAATCGTACCCACAGGGGATGCCTGCATCCTCCCAGGTCAATGGCAACTCATGGAGAGGACCCTGGTTTCCCATCCCGTTTCGAGGCCAACAATTTAGTGCAGCCCTCTGCTTCTCTTTGCCAAGCCCTTTGGGAGACAGGGAAGAAGCACTAATCTCAACTGTCCTCCCTGAGCTGGGCCCCGGGTGACAAGTATCTGACTAAAACACTTAGAAGAGGAAAAGTTCTTCCCACTTCTCTGCCTTTCTACCTGTATATGTGTGTGTGTGTGTGTGTGTGTGTGTGTGTGTGTGCGTGTGTGTGTTTGTGCATGCATGTGTGTGTTTGTGTGTTCTCTTTTAAGTGAAACACTTTGCTTGCACCTTCCAACAACAATCACCTTCCTTTCATTTTTGCTTTGCTTTTCTTGCCTAGCTCACTTTCCATCCATCTGTGTCCAAAGTGGACTCACCCAGTGTGACACATTATCCACTTAACCCAGCAGGTAGCAGCTTTGCTCTTGTGCCTCTGTGGGATAGGGGTGGGAGCAGGTCCTCAGTGTACAAGATGTACGAGACCAAGTTCAAGTCCTGCCTGTAGCAGAGACACTCAGTGGAATTGTGTGTCTTAGCTGCTTTCAGAGGGGACAAGATTCTCTGGCTCCCACTGGAAACTCACCTGTACCAAAAAGGGAAGGGCCCCGGAAGGAATATGCTAACCTTGACCTCCTAGTACCTCCTGCAGTGGAGCATGTGAACCTTCCAAAGAGAAATTTTCTTATGCTGGAAATCAGTGCTTTTCTAGCCTTTTCTGGCCTTCAAGATGGTGGGGAGAAAAGAAGCATTGAATGCAAAAAGGATCCCATTTCCAGGAATCAATTCAGATGGGCTCACGTGTCCTCTGGGGCCTTTCCCCTTGAAGCAGCGCAGTCACATTCACTCAAGTCTCTTGTGGTGAAGAAAGAAGGGATCCAAGACAGGGCTGGTGGCAATGAGCATATCTGGGAAGAAGAGAGGGACATGATACCCATGAGTGGTTCAATAAAAGCGGGACTGGCCCGTGGGCAGGAATAGCCCCTCCTCCTCTCCCTCACTGCAAGCTGGCTGTGGCTGATGGCTCAGGAAGCTTGGCTGGGGTATTAACATTGTGATTAGAGGATGCTTTTGACAGAACTTCATCTGACTCATTAGGTGACATGAGCAATCAACACAGAGCTGCATGGTAATTAGGCATCCTGGGCTGTTTGCAGAAGTAATTGTAAAGAGCTTTACTTCTACCTGGCCCAGGAAGACATTGCTAGGAAAAGCCAGGTAGGGCAGAGTCCTGCTGGGCAGTTCCCCAACTCACTAAGCATTGATACTTCTGTGACTCTGGCTGTCTGTTTCTGCACCAGAGGGGTGGGTTGGCCACTGTCCCCCATTCTTTTGTGACCCTCCCCACCTGCCTGCCCACTTCCTCCCTGGATTGACTGTCTGATGGTCCAGCTCAGTATAAAGAAACCAGATCCCTAGACAGAAGGGCTCCAGCCACACTGTTCCAAGGTCTTTTGCTGGCTCTATGTGATCTCCACTAGAGGTAGCTAGGGTGAGAGAGGAACAGGGGCCCGGCCCATTTGTTTTCAAGGCATTCAGACCCCTAGGCATTCCCTGCAGGAAGCCCAGGCATTTCTTTCTCTGGGATGAGATGAGATTATCCAGACAGCACCCTGGGTGTGCTCACATGGGATGGTGATACCCTTTTTTCCACTTCACTCATCACCCCTGCTTAGAGAGAAGAGCTGCCCCAGGTGTCCTCCAGTGTGCTCAGCCAAATCCTTTCTGAACTCCAGGGGAGCCAGATCTTGGGGAAAAGGCTAGAGAAATGCATTTGCTCCATTTGAAGCCCTGCTGGGAGGCTGGGTCTGGTTCTTGGGCTCCAGGTGGTATAGGTGGGTGACAGGAAGCTGCAGGTGGCACTGGGGCAGATGGAGGGAGTGGCCAGAGTGATAGTGGCAGGGTGCTCCTAACAAGAAGGCTGTTTTGAGGGAATGGGAGTGGGAGGAAAGGGAAGGAGAGCACACAGGAAGATGACCCAGCCTGGAAAAGCCTGTGTGAGCAGCTCTGGTAGCCTCCTCCAGACACAGGACTGCAAGGGCCAACGAGGAAGTGGACTAAGCAAGATGCTGAGTGGCCAGCTGAGCCCAGACAGCTACTCTGACCTCTCTCTTCTGCTAAAAATACTGCCCTTCCAGGCATCCCTCTTTCTCCTCAAGCCACTGCAGGCTTTGTTTGTTGGGTTCTGAGCAGGGGAGCACAGAAAGCCCCAGCCAGCCTTTCTCTCACAGGTGACTGTGAAGAGCCCACCAGATCCTGGGAGAAAGGAGGCTGCTGTGGGGCAGGTGCAGCCTGATTGCTGAGACCCTGCTCTGTTTCTATAGCCTGTTCCCTGGCTCTCTCTGCTCTGAGAGTCTGGCTACTGCTGGGGTTGGCTGGGCCAGCCTGGGTTCCTGTTCTACTGCTTACTAGTTGTGTGGCTTTTAGCAAGTTGCTCCATTTTGCATGGAGGTATAAAGACAGCACCTGTCCCCCAAGGATGACACAGGTGCATGGGTAAAGACAGCACCTGTCCCCCAAGGATGACACAGATGCATGGGGAAGACAGCACTTATCTGGAACATGTGAGGTATACAAGCAATGACAAAAGCATTATGATGAACTCTTCCTATTCTTAGCAACTCTACTGTCCTGGCATTCTGTGCACAAGAGGACAGAGTGGCAGGAGTCCTCAGCACAGGACACTTGGTGGCAGGAGACTGTCTGGAAAAGACAGGTTGCCTTCCTGCCCCTGTGGTACCCTGCCCACAGCCCCCCCCCCAAGGCTAGGTGCATGGACCCTGAATCCCAGTCTCTGATGCTCACTGCTACCACCTGCTTCCCCACAGACTTGCGCAGAATGACGGCTGGCTTCATGGGCATGGCAGTGGCCATCATCCTCTTCGGCTGGATCATTGGTGTGCTGGGTTGCTGCTGGGACCGAGGCCTTATGCAGTATGTGGCGGGACTTCTCTTCCTCATGGGAGGTAAGGCCAAAAGCTCAGGGATGGGAGTGGGTGGAAAGGACCTGGTTACTGGAGCTCTGGGAGAGTGGAAAGAAGACAAGGCAGATGGGAAGATAGGATGTGGTCCTCATCCTCTGGGATCTGACTGCCTAGTACGGAAGAAAAACTCTAGGGAGAGGCAGTACTTGTACTGTGGCAGCTGGACATCTCACACCTGGAAGGCAATGAACCCAGGAGGTGCTGGGATATTTACATACCTGGCCCCTGGGGCAAGGATGGAGGTGCTTCCTGGGCAGCAAGGGCCCTCTCCAAAGGCCTGTGCCCACTCTCTGCTTACAGCTCCTCCCATCACTGCCTCATTTAAAATAAGACACTGGAGAGGTAAGTCTAGACTCTCTCTTATTTCTGTCTCACTTAGTCTATTATTATGGTGGACATGGTGCCTACCCAGTGGCCTTAAAAAGAAATGCACATAGGAGCACCATGTAGCTGCGTGGCATAGGTTCCAGCCCAATAAAGGGGAAAGTCCCTCCATCTGCTGTATTTCTTCTTTGCCATCAGAGCTAGAATATACTTTGTGGTTTCAATCCAGAGCTGCAGGTTTGGATGCTCAGGGAAAGGCAGAGGGATGACTCTGCCTTTGTGGAACTTGATAGGCTGGGAATGGGGCTTGGACAGAGAGAATCAGGCATACTTATGGAGAGAAGGGAAATGACTGCTTGATATAGGAACAAATGATAGTTGGGCTTTCAGCACCTGAGTAAGTGTCAGGTCCCTTTGGTGAACAGCTAGACGCTGGGTTTCCAAGCAGAGGTAGAGGTGGAGGTGTGGGCCATGCTGGCTCTTTGTACAGATCAGGCTAGGGAAAGAGGAAGTTTGGCCCTCTCCAAGCACGGAGAGATCCCTGGGGCCCAGGGAACTCTGACTGGGGGAGGAGATCTTTGTAGGATTGATTTGGGGCCTGAAGGGCCTGTGTTTCCTTGAAGCACATCTTTCCCCTTGGAAAGCAGGGACTTTCCAAGGAGCTATCAAACGCTCTGCCATCAGGATCCAGAGGGCCCATGTCAGAGCTGCCTCTGCTGGGTTTATACCTGCATATAGGGCAGAGATTGGGGGTTGGAAGGCATAAGGTAGCTCTTCATAGCTTTTCCCACACCCTTCTTATCTCCTACAGAGATGGAGGTGATGCTCACCTCTGTGCAACAGTCCTTTCAGCAAAGTGCAGTCCGTCTAGCCCACCATTCCCATGCTATTTTAGCAGTGGAATTGTTTTTGTTTTCCCCTCTGTAAGGCAACCTTTATTTGAACCCCAAAATGTGCAAAGATAAAAGGGGCATGGCTCTATTCAGATTAAGGTTTCTCTGAGTTGCCTTTAGAAGCACAAGGAAAGCTGTAGCAGACGGGCTTTCCTGTGGCTCTGGAGAGATCTCCCAGGAGTTGGAGAAAAGCTGAACAAACAAACCCGGGCTGAACAGGAATCCAGGAGCCCTGGGGGCTGACTTGCTTTCATCTCCATCCTTTTCCTGGCATTTGCGGCTCCTAGGCAGCTGTGCCACTCTCTGTGCCTTCCATTCGGGCATGCATAAGGCTCAGGTCCTGCCCAGGTGCTAAGCCCAGGAGTGTTCGATTTTTTGAGAGCTTCCTTCCTTTCTTGCTGCTTCAGCCAGCTGGCAAATGCGAAGCCAGCATAGTGTAGGCTGGCTTATGTTCCCCATACTCCACATGTCAGACAGTACAGAGGCTAGAGCTGAGTGACAGTGGCTAGGCCAACAGCTATGACTGCTGGGAGGTCATCGGGTCATCTCCCACTCACCTGAAACCTTGGGTGGGTGAGAGCCCTACCCATACTACTGAGACACCTCCTTGAAGCTGGGTCTCTGGACCAGTTGGCTGGAAACCCTGGGCTAAGAGAGGAGCCTGCAACCTCCACCCAGGCTAAAAGAACAACTTTGTTTTCTGCTTGCCCAGGTAGTGGTCCTTGCCTGTTGCCCACGACAGCCACTGGAGGGATTTTATAGAAAAAGTGACGCTATCTTCATTCCCACCCTACCACCAGTGAGCCAGGTATCTAGGGTGATCCTCACACTCAAACAGAGCCAAGAACTAGTGAAGGAGTAGAACTTTAGAGTTCTTTCCAGTTTCAATGTGCTAGGGAACCAGGGTCCAACTGATTGGTCAAGGCCTCTCCTGATTTTTTAACCAGACCTATTATGACCGTGTCCAAGCCTTATGCACAAAGAAATAGAGCAGAGTTGATGGACCTCCATGTTGTTGGGAAGGCCTATCCAAGCCCTACTTTCCAGGGCATCCAAATAAATTTGCTTTTCTTGGACATGCACTGTTGTTTTTGTTTCTGTTTTTTTTTTTTTTAAATGGTAAAGCCACAGCCTGTGATAAAGCATTAGTATGACAATAGGTTTTGGGCAAGTTGCTGTTCCAGGACCTGTGCTATCTGTGGCACCATCCCAGCTGGAGGGAATCTATGTCATTTAGTCGCATAGCCCTCTCCTCCACCCTGGAGCTTTGCTGTTTTTGTCCCTAGGTGAAATGATGTCCTCCTGAAAGAGGCTGAGAAGGAAGTAGTGTCCATACATCCATGGGTACCAACTAGGGGAGGCACCAACAGAAGGGGCTGAAGATCAAAGGCCTCTGCTGTTGATGCCTGGAGTGTGTTTTCAATTTTTTGCAAAATGAAGCTTCAGGGATTTGAAAGATACTCTTTTCTCAAATCTGAGTCTGTTCTCACTGGGCTGGACACAGCCTCTGGCATCCACAAGTCCAGCTGCCAGTTGCTGACCCTGGAGGTTGATTTCATTAGGAACGAGGAGGGAACAGACTTGGGAGCAGGCTGTGCATTCCCCAGCCATGCTTAGCTGTGAGAGCCAAACTGAGAGTTCAGGTTCCACAGAAGCAAGGCTCTGACCTGTGGAAGTCTGTATGTTAAGGACCCACCTTTCCCAGAACCTGGCCTGTTCCTACCCCCCAGAGTTAGTCTATGTTTGACTTAGTAAAGAACTTGGAGAATCAGCCACTCATGACAACCTCACAGTGACATGACAACCAGACACAGTGAAACCATTGCTCACAGTTGCAGATATTTCCTGAAAAATGGGACTTATTAAAAAAAAGGATGTAGGGGCTGGGGATTTAGCTCAGCGGCATAAGTGCCTGCCTTGCAAGCAGGCAGTCGTGAGTTCGATCCCTGGTACCAATGAAAAGGAAAAAGACAAAAAAAAAATTATTAAAAAAAAAAAAAGGATGCACAGTCTGAGTATTCAAGCAGGTTGGGGTCTCAGGTGTCTTCAACTAACCATAGACATGTGTCCAAGGGGTTAGAGCAGCTGCAAGTGAGACAGGCAGGAGGAGACCAATAGCAGTAGTGTCAAGAGCTGTCCAGGCCTGAGTATGGTAGCCAGGTGGAAAAAAGAACGAAAGGGATACATTTGGAGTCAGGAGTCCAAAGATGGAATCACAGGTGACTTTAGGTGAAACTACCAGGACCAGAATAAACGTAGAAGAATTCTTTTTAAAAGTATTTTTCTCTGTTCCCATATGAAGGATGATAAGCAGCACAGGCCCTTCTGTGTTCCAGATTTAACTATATGTGGGTTAAAGAGAGGACATCTTTCACTCTGTGAAATAACTGGCAGCAAATTGTTTAATTAGTGCTCAATGCAGAGGAAGCAATTGATGAAGCCGGATGGCTTTTTGCGCAGGAGGCTGGTGGAGGGGGTGGGGGATCCAGTTTCTCTTTCAGAAAGGCCTCCAGGGAAGATCTAGCTCAGACAGGCGGAGCACCATTTGGGTTCCAGCAACTGTCCTGATGAGTCATCAGTGATTCGCAGAAGCTCAAGAACAGAGTGACACAGGGAAAGACTGCATGCCGATGGAGCATGTGAATACCACAGCCCCTTGTGATTCCCTCCCGGGGTACACTTAATGGACATAGTCAGATCTACAGGTAATCCTAAACCTCCAGTCCCTGCCACCCCATCTAGAACCCTCCTGCAATCTTCCAACATTTGCTGCAAGTATTCCTACCCTGAGCCAGATCTAAGGTTCCACCATCTTTTATGTGGCTGATGCTGGAACTTCCTGTCTGACTGTCCTGACCCCATTCCAACCACCCTGTATCAGCCCTGCATAGAGCAGTTAGCACAGTGTTCTAAAATCATCACAAATCAGATATATCACTTACTGCTGTCAGTGGTCTGACAGTTTGCAGTTGAACTGGAAATAAAATCCAATATCCTTATGCTTTTTTAGACACCCTCTATAATCTGGCTGATCTGGCCCCTCTCACCCTTTTTTTCTTCCTTCCCCTGCAACCACACTAATTAAACAACTGGTTACTAGTTATTTCACAGGGTGTAAATGCTGTCTCTTTAATCCAGCAATAGTTACGTATGAAACAGAAAAGTGCTCATGCCAGCTAGCATCCTGGCTGCCATCCTGTCTTGGACTCCCAAACTTTTACTGTAAGGCCCTGGGCCTGGCTGATCCCTTGACCCATAGAGCTTTTCCCACAATATGTTTTGGATTCAGATTTCCACTCAAAGATTCCCTTCTGAGAAACACCTTCCACCACTCAGTCTAATGATACCGAGGTACTTTCACACTTTGTCTTGAACACACTCACTCTGTTCCGAAATGTTTACATTTGGCTTTGTTTTGTACTTTTTTTTTTTTAGCAGCTTAAAGCAACAAACATTAATTATCCCATGAGTCCAATGGTTCAGAATTCCAGCACATTTTAACTGGGTTCTCCCAGAACTATGAAGAAAGCTATGATTTGGTCTGGGGTCTCCATCAAGCCTGAGGTCCTTTCCCAAGATTGCCATGTTGTTGGTAAGATTCTTTTTTTTTTTTTTTTTTTTGGCCTTTTTCATTTTTATCGGTACCAGGGATCGAACTCACGACTGCCTGCTTGCAAGGCAGGTGCTTATGCCACTGAGCTAAATCCCCAGCCCCGGTAAGATTCATTTCTATGTAGAGCCTATGAAAGCTATTACACAAGGCCA